CTCTCATTCTATCAGATGGGAGTAGATGAGGATGTCTCTTGAGAAATATATAAATATATATATATAGTGAAAAAAATTTCAGAAATTGCACTTATTTGTTGCAGTGGCGGAGATTTTGTACCATGGATCATAAGAACCGATATTAGACGGGAACTGTCTGGAAGAGAGAGAGAGAGAGAGAGCATGGTGGTGCAAGAGAGACACCCTGCAAAACATACACGACTCAAGAACAATTTCTACGACCGAGCTACACAACGCATCACGTCAAAAGGAAGACACGCCAAAAGAGACAATTAGATTTGACTATCGAGTTCAGTGCTTCACGTGGAAATCGAAGCCACTCGCCTCGGGAGCGTTTCCATACAAGCTACCGGCCTCTCTTCCCTTCGTCACATTCATCAACCATCCCAATCCATCTATCTAAGCCCCTCATTAAAACAACACTCCCTTTCCGATCAATCCAAGTTCACTGACTCCTAGTGATAGCCTCATCAACATGCTTCCGATGCCATGAACACCAACAGAAACAAAGAGGTGGTGAAATTGCAGCTTTAAATTACTGCAGGCATACCCCAAAATGATCGAAAAGAACAACGAAACCCATGGAATCTTCTTCTTCTTCTTTGACCGCACCGTGAGGAGTAGATTGTTACTGAGATCAAAACGGTGGACGAACACCTCCACCGCCCCAACCAAATGCGTCACCCGTAGGCTGATAACCCCCCATGTTTCCACCCAAATTGTAGAATGGAACGCCGCTGGCACCAACCCCATCGCCGCCTCCAGTAACGCCTGACGACTGCAGAGTACCAGGTTGCTGCCCCTCAGCTGCCGCTTCCTCCTCGCCTTCCAACGGCAGCCGCTCGTACATGGCGTTGGCGAACGATGCAGCATTTAGCACCACCGGCCCCGCCGCCACCAGAGGGCCAACGACACTTCCCCCCATCACCTGTCCTTGCCCTCCAGCCAGAAATACGGTCAGGCCGCTGGCACCAGGCGGAGTCGGCGGCGGGAGGATGGTCCCAGTTAGTGAGAGGATCTCGAACCTCCCCCTGAGAGTCGTCACCACGCTCCCTGGCGGCAAAGCCCCAGGCTGGCGGAGGCCGACGTCGACCACATCACCGGAACCGCTGAGAACAGAGACACCACGGCCACGCCGCCGGGCATACTCGGTAACGCACTCGACGACGTCGGCACCTCCGGCCACCTCCAGCACGTGGGAGTGGAGGGAGTTGGGGCTGTCGCACGTGACTATAATAGGCGGCTTTGGCTTGTTCTTGGAGCCAGGAGGCCGGCCGCGGGGTCGGCGGACGGGGCCTCCCGCGGCGGCCGAGGTGGAGGGTTGATCACTCTCGCCGTCGCCGTGTTCGGCAGGAAGATTCTGGCTTTCTTCTGGGGAAGGCTTGGAGTCTTCGGACGAGATGTGGGTTGAGAGCGCAGCAGGCCGCAGCGGTGGTCCGAGGAGATGTTGGAGGTAGCGAGAAGAGCCTCCGCCGCCGCCGCCGCTGGATTCCGCTCCGGCCATTGCCGACGCATCTACTCTCTCCCACCACTTGTTAGCCAGCTTTCCTTTTTCTCTCCGCTTCCGTTTATCTTCTAATCAAAGCTTCCTCCTAGGTAGAATTATCCAAAGAACCAAAATAGATCTTTTTCTTTGTTTCCTCTATATATGTAAACTCTGTTGGATTGAAGGAATAGCTTCAAACAGCGTATTAGTCGTTCGTGTTCTACTTAACACTAATAACATAAGAAGGAACTCAAAACTAGAACAAGGTTGAGAAGCCAAAGAAGCAGCTTCATCTTTCGTTCTTAACAGAATAGATACTGACCTGAGAAATGAGTCCACCACCACAACCCGATACTAACGGAGGAAGCCTTGGTGATCTCTTTCCAAGAATAACAATAGAATAGAAACCATTTCTAGCTATATAACTCTTCCTACTTCAGCACCATACTATATATATATATATATTTATTTATTTATTTATTTGTTTGTTTGTTTGTTTGTTTATTTATTTATTTAAGGAGGTGTTGCGGTGGAAAGACCGAGAGGCAAAGCGACTGCTTGAGTTTTTAATCATTTCTTTTGGAAATCTTCGCAGTAGAGCAAGTGATCGGATCCCTTTTTATTATCTCATCCATTGACTCAGAGAGAGGTGAGATCTGAATGAGAGGAGTCTGAGATGAGAAACAGTATGCATACATTAAAACTAATATATTAGAACCAGTTGCATTGTCCATTTAGGTAGGTAGAGAGAGAGAGAGAGAGAGCCTGCGACCATTTCACTGTAGTTGTAGCACTGGAAGCATGCAGATAGCTCTGATTCCACTAGTGGAGCCTTTGGCGTTAACTGCATATTTTATGGACTTTGGAGCAACTACTTTATTAAGTGCAGTGACGTTATTGCATTAGCTATCCATAAATACACACAACACCTATCAAACATGTTAGGGATATAGATAGAAGATGCAATCCGATGGTGCAACATGATGTATATATGCTCCTTGTATCTCTGCGTCAGTTGCCTTGGGTTGCTCTTGACCTTTTACGACAATCATATGGGCAACCTTATCCTCCAAGGAATGCCTGTGGCTAAAAGTTTACTTGTGAAGCAAAAGAAGCTGTACATAATCATATCAGTAGAGATTTAGAAACTCATCAAATGTAGCAGGCATAATAATGGGTGTAACTGTAGATCTCTCTCTACCTCTATTTTGTCGCTTTGGATGACGTCGTCGGTAAGTGATGGCGCTGCGAAATAATACCCTGTGAAGAAAGCATCTACAAGTAGCCCTCGTCACTCCAGTTTGATTCCAATCGAATTGAAATTGGATTTGAATTTGTTTGATAACTTATTAATTTTAAATTAAATCAAAATTGAATCTGTACGATTCGATCATCGTTTCTTGGTTTTTAAGAATCGAAATCGATGGTTCTAATTTCGATTTGAACTGATGGTTCACGATTTAAAATATATATATATATTATTTTTAAATTATATTTTTATTTTAAATTATTTTAATTAAAATTAAAAAATCAGAATGAGAATTATCGAAATCGAAACAAAACTGTATCGAATGATTCTAGAATTAGACTTATGTAATTCGATTTCGATTCCCAAAATTTAGGAATCGAAATGACTAATAGTCCACGAGGAGAGATGAAGAAAACAACTAAATAATAATTTTACATTAATAAAATTAAAATAATTAAATTAATAATTTTAAATTGAATTGATATATTTTCATCCATTTATAATTTTATAAATAACCGAGGGAGTTGAAGTATGCCTACATCCCACTGGAGAAAATGAACTCATATGATCAGGAACACTATACACAACTGATATGCTAATTGTTAGTGAACAAATGTGTCGTGGCTGATGAGTCAGCACGCCTTGGTCCACAGGTCAATGTCTGGAGTCTTCTGCCGGCTGAGCTAGATGCTGAGGTCGATCGGGCCCTCACGATGGGGTGCTAATCAGCGTTTCTTTGTGTGTTGATCCGGGTGCTATATATGTCGTGCTGCGTCTCTCCTTTTTCGGGGTGGTTGGTAGCTCGTCTTCGTGAGATGGCCATATTTTCTTGCAAAAATGGCCCTCGTCGGGATCACCCGATGATGCCCCTCCGACAAGCAAGTTAGTAGAGTGATCGATTGATTTTTCTCCCCCCTCCCTTTTTCCTGGATCAGGTCGGGGGTATTTATACCTGTGTGCGAGAATTGGTCGGGCCCTAGTTCGACATGGTCGTTGACTCTGGGGGCGGAACAACCTCTCTGACAAGATGGCGCCTTCGGGGGTGCTTGAGCGGCGTCAGACGGCATTGCCCTAACAGCAGACGGCACCATCCCCCAGCTCTTGGGGTGGTCAGGCCGCACAGTCGCACCGTTGGAGCTTAACATGGCATGCACCCTACGGTTATGGAGGCGTACGGTGTTGTGTCGGTCTGCAACGTTTG